GAATCCGTTTGATATTCCTTTTCTTTGAAATACTGGAACATGCAATAAAAACAGCAATATGGGCTGGGCCTCCAATTAATAGGTTAGTCCCAAAAGTAACATAAAAGTGTATAATAAAGACCATAACATCCAAAAGGGGTAATATAATAGCATGGAACAATCAAAAATTATAGATACGTTGGAGACGTATCACGCTGCTGCTACGGGTTAGCTGTAGCGTCTTATTAGTAGCGCCGGACCCCGCGCTACTGATATACCTTGAACCCGCGCTACTGTAGCGTCTTATTAGTATGCTTGAAGTATTATTGTTTTTATGTCAATATTAAAATTTTGTTTTGAATCTTTCGGATCTGAACATTCATGCCACAATAAAGAGAATTACATGGATAAATATGTTAGGTAGCATTCCACATCAAAAATTCTATTTTTATCATTTACCTACTCGAGGACGAGCAGGAATTAAGTTTGGGAATGCTTGATACGTCTCCAACGTATCTATAATTTTTAATTGTTTCATGCTATTATATTATCTTTTTTGGATGTTTAATATGCAATTATATGCTATTTTATATTATTTTTGGGACTAACCTATTAACCTAGAGCCTAGTGCCAATCCATGTTTTTTTCCTGTTTTAGAGTTTTGCAGAAAAGGAATACCAAACGGAGTTCATACGGAATGAAACTTTTGCGATGATCTTTCTTGGAGCAGAAGCAAACCAGGAGACTTGGAGATGAAGTCGGAGACGCAACGAGGCAGCCACGAGGGTGGTGAGCGAGCCCAGGGGGTAGGGTGCGCCCCTGCCTCGTGGGCCCCTCGTGGGTCTCCTGACCTAGTTCCTTCGCCTATATATATAATCTTATACCCTGAAAACATCGAGGGGAAACACGAAACCACTTTTCCACCACCGCAACCTTCTGTACTCGTGAGATCCCATCTAGGGACCTTTTCCGGCGTCCCGCCGGAAGGGGATTCGATCACGGAGGGCTTCTACATCAACACCATTGCCTCTCCGATGAAGCGTGGGTAGTTTACCTCAAACCTATGGGTCCATAGCTAGTAGCTAGATGGCTTCTTCTCTCTCTTTGATTCTCAATACCATGTTCTCGTCGATGTTCTTGGAGATCTATTCGATGTAATATTCTTTTGCGGTGTGTTTGCCGAGATCCGATGAATTGTGGATTTATGATTAGATTATCTATGAATATTATTTGGTTCTTCTCTGAATTCTTATATGCATGATTTGATATCTTTGCAAGTCTCTTCGAATTATCGGTTTAGTTTAGCCTACTAGATTGTTTTTTTTTGCAATGGGAGAAGTGCTCAGCTTTGGGTTCAATCTTGCGGTGTTCTTTCCCAGTGACAGTAGGGGCAGCAAAGCACGTATTGTATTGTTGCCATCGAGGATAAAAAGATGGGATTTTCGTCATATTCCTTGAGTTAATTCCTCTACATCCTGTCATCTTACTTAATGCGTTACTCCGTTCTTTATGAACTTAATACTCTAGATGCATGCTAGATAGCGGTCGATGTGTGAAGTAATAGTAGTAGATGCAGAATCCTTTCGGTCTACTTGACACGAACGTGATGCCTATGTTCATGATCATTGCCTTAGATATCGTCATAACTTTGCGCTTTTCTATCAATTGCTTGGCAGTAATTTGTTCAACCACCGTAATATTTGCTATCTTGAGAGAAGCCACTAGTGAAACCTATGGCCCCCGGGTCTCTTGTCCATTATATTGAATCTCTTCTACGTCATACTAGTTTCCGATCTACTATTTTGCAATCTTTTACTTTCCGATCTATAAACCAAAAATACCAAAAATATTTACTTTACCGTTAATATCTCTATCAGATCTCACTTTTGCAAGTAACCGTGAAGGGATTGACAACCCCTTTATCGCGTTGGGTGCAAGTTATTGATTGTTTATGCAGGTATTCGGTGACTTGTGCATTGTCTCCTACTGGATTGATACCTTGGTTCTCAAAACTGAGGGAAATACTTACTCTACTTTGCTGCATCACCCTTTCCTCTTCAAGGGAAAACCAACGCAAGCACAAGAGGTAGCAGCGGTCGGTGGTGGGAGTGAAGGAGGCAAGATTATCAGGATGAGCAAACATGTGAGCCATGGCCCCGGTGTCCATGTACCAATCACTGCCTTCAGTGTAGTTGTTCGACGTAGGAGTGGTGTGCAGCGCGGCAAGGATCGCCGGATCCCAAGGCGCCGGCGGCAGTGTAGGCGAGGGGGACGAAGGCGCCATCAGGAAGCTGTAACCACCGCTCAGCTGCGGAGATGGGTACCCTCCATAGGGCTGCGGAGCCGCGTAGTACGCCTGATGCACCGGCGGGCGCGACATGGGAAGGGTCGGCGCAGGGGCCTGTGGGACCAGCATGGTGTAAGCATGAACGACATCGGTCCACGGGTTGTATCCGGCGGCCCACGGAGGAGGCATCTGAAGCTACTTCTGCTGCTGCTGACGAGGCGCGTCGGCGCCCTGCTGCTGCTATCTGCCGCACCGTCCACCGTGCCGGCCCCCGCAACGTCGTTCGACGGCGGGAGGGGCGGGAGGCCTGTAAGGGAGAGAAAGCAGCCCCGGTTGCTGCTGCGGCGCCGGGTACGGCGCCTGGTGGCACAATGGAGGCGGCGCGGCCAGGACAGCGGGGGGCGGCGGGGGCCCGCCACAGGTGGTGCCAGCGGCAAGGGTGGTGTGGATGGCCCACGCCTTCACCTGCTTCATCCGCCGCTCCTCCAACCGGAGGTACACAACAAACTTGGCGAAGGAGGGCTCGGGGATGAGGGTGAGGTTCGCCGCGGCGTTGCCGAAGTCCTCGTTGAGCTCGGCGGTGAGCGTGCTGAGGAGGAGGTCATCATCGATCTTTGTGCCAATATCACGGAGCTCGTCAGCGTGAGTCTTGAGGCGGCGACAATAGTCATCGACGGAGGAGTTGTCCTGGTGGCACCCAAAAAACTCTTGCTGCAAAAAAACACAAAGTTGGAGTTGATTGTCGGTGAAGAGCCCGTTCAGCTCGGTCCACACGGCGTGGGCGTTGTCACCGTCCTGCACGACCGTTTGAAAGAGGTCTGGCGAGATGGTCAGGAAGAACCACCCGGATGATAGTGGTGTCGATGATGGACCAGTCATGGAACTCAGGGACGAGGCTGGAGTCGACGGAGCCGTCCACATGATCAATGAGGTGGTACTCGCGAAACACGAGGGAGAAGTACGTCTTCCACGTGTAGTAGGAGGAGTCCGTCTGGGAGAGACGAACCGGCACCTGCTCGTAGATGTTGAGGTTGCGGATGTCGTTGACGGCGGGCGGGTTGGCGTCGGCGAACGGGTTGGAGTTGGTGGACGCAGACGAGGTGACGGACGACATGCCGGCGAGGGGTGGTGCAGCTAGGGTTCGGCTCAGGCGAGGGTCGGGTGGCGGCGGCGATCGGCTCGGGGTAGGGTCGGGTGGTGG